TGTTTATTAGACTGCTAAGCTATTTGGCTAATGTCAGTTGAGGGCAGAACAATATTGAAAGCAGTAGTAGAAATGGCATATCAATCTTTCCAATATCTGCATAGGGTGCACAGTGATTTTGAATGTATAACTAATCTGAAGACCCATCATGTTCCACAAGAATTTGTAGGCCTCTCCAGGTTTGAGGCTAAGTATCAGATCTCTTTGAATGAAGAAGATTTGGATCTGATTGGATAGGATTTGATTGGATAGGATTTGATTGGATAGGATTTGATTTGTCAACTTTCCATTATGTGAGAAGCTGCACATAATTGAAATTTAGACCCAACCAATTGATGGCAGCTGAACATTGCTTAGCATGTAATGCAGAGCCTTGATTTTTCAGCAACAAAGTCATTTGTATTCACAAGGATTTTCACTCTTCTTTCATGAAAATGGAAATTTTTATTCCATTAGTGGTATACTGTAGAAGGAATTCAGTTACCAGGTTAGAGATAATGGTGCAACCTTGCCATATACTCCATGGAATATATGGATTCAGCAGCTTCATAAATTTAATGATAAAAGTCTGTGCAGTCTGGTAGAAAACTCTGTAACTCATACCAACTGCAAAACTAAAGATAAAAATTTAGCTCTATATAGAAATTCTTCACTGTTTACAGAGAGATGATCAGTGTTAAAAATTCATAACACCTGTTTAAAGGTCAAATGTTTTCTATGTAGGTGGAGTCTCTGAAAATTAGTTCTTTTGTCTATAATTGAAGTCATTCAGAACCATTTTGGTTCTGCCAGACCAGATAAATTTAACCCTATGTATATTTCACTGATTGGAATTTCTCATACCTTCTTTTGAAAACCGTCTTTAAAAGGCCCAGTTTGTCCTTTTAGCACTAAAATGGTTTTATTTGCAATGCCAGGGTTCTGAGTAAGCATCCTATCTATTTATATCATTCTGAAGATTATTAACATGTCCAGATGGATGAAATGCCTTGTGTTTCCAGAATTACATCTAATATTTTAAGCAACTTGCATAATGAGGATGCATTGTTTTTTCTGAGTGATTCAGAATCAGATTAGTGAAAATAGTGATCAGTTGAGAGTCTTTCTTCCATGCTAACTGGTTGCAATGTTAGCTGCTCTGTAGAAGATATTGCAACTTGGATTTTGCAGTGTTACTTGAAACTAGTATTTATGAGTGTGTTTTTAATCAGTGTTGCCGCTAAAAATCCATTGAAAATATCTGAATCCTCTCTGTTCTACTCCCTGGTTTGGAAATCAATTTCCTTACATCTTAGAATAAAAGGAGGAAAGCACTCTATTGATTTGATCTACAAATTGTAATTGCTATACAAGATAATCCTCATTTAGTTACCAAAAGTGGAACCAACAACACAGTTGCTAAATGGAAAATAACATGGCTGGAATGGGGTTATGACATTACTTCCCCTTCAGTTATTAACTAAATCACAACATTGCTAAGTTAAGACTGGGACTTGCCATTTTACTTTTGTATTCTCTAATAATTCTGCTTGTTGGAAGCCAGTTGTGAAGCACAGGAATGGTGTGCACATGACCACTGAATGTTGCAACGGATGTAAAAGGTAGACTGGTTGCAAAGCTGGCTTTTTTTCATCATAGTTTCAAACAAGACAGTAATCTGCAGTACACTTGTGTTACTCGTTCCTGTTATATAACTATTTAAATGATCTATTTCCATTTTTGCATCCTATCATAATTAGTATAATTGGAGGGAAGCACACTTTTCCCAGAATGACTTCTATTTCAGAATGGGAATTGAGCTTCTAGGTGAAGAACTTTGATATTGAGGATGATATCACAGTTGAATGTATGTGCTGAAGCTGGATACATTTGTCTTTCTCATTGCTGCAAATCTGTGAATGCTAGTTTGTGTCAATTCAATAAAATATTCAGTATCGTTATTGCTATTGCTATTGCTATTAAATACTATTAAATTTTGTATATATTCTTGTGCCACATTTCTTATACTTGGCCATCTTTATTACGAGTTTGCAAGTTTTATTAAACAAATTTGCCTTAGTAATGCATTTGAGTGCCTTGTTTTCAATAAGAAGCAAGATTTTGCTTTATAATAATTGTACAAAGCATGCACTGCAAAATTGATAGAAATGTTTATTTTGAAGATTAGTGAATTTCAATTTGTATAATGATTATAAATATGAAATAGGTTCACATCAAAATATCACTCTAAGTTCATCTGAAACATTAGCATTTGGTATTGACTTGTACCATAATCTCTTCACTATGCTTTCACCTTTTGTAGCATTATTTTCCCTTTTGTTTCCATAGTTGATTTTCCTTTTAACTCTAGCAAAAATAAAAAATCAGGAGCAGAAGTGTAGATAAGCAATCAACTTACAGAATAGATAATACAGACATCAGAGCTGACTTTTTACCTGTCAAAAATTGATTGTGAGTAAGCATCTGATTCCATATTCCTTCCTTACATGTAAAGGGATGGAAAATTTGTGGATTTTGTCTGCAAAATTACTTACTAAAGATCAGTAGAATTATAGATACACCCACACGCACCTGGTACTAACCTTTATTTTACCATTGTAGAAATAAGGAAACAGTTTGTAGGGGTTTTTTTTTTGTATTTAGGTCACATCACAAACATCATTAATATTACGTAGATTGATTTAATTGGCATCAGACATTCAGCAGAATATGCAGCTTGTGAACATATCAAACAGATGGAGTTTGACACTAAGGGTACAAATAACAACCTCTACACTTTATCATGTCAGCTTTTAATAAACCCCAAAGACCCATTTATTTAGGGTTCCAGCTGGAAGGTAGAGATTAGAGTTTGAGAAAGGTCTTTTGGAGTGGGTGGTTTTATTAATGTCCTGTTTCTTTCACTATATGCATAACACCTTGGGGAGATTTTTGCCCTTAAATAATATTTACACCAGTTGAAATGCCTACAGATGACGATTTTGAAAATATGTTTTTATGTGGTACAAAGTAAGTAAGCTGATACAGGATCAGGACAATATTGGGTATGTTTGCTGCCTTAAGTCATTTTTCAGAATGAAGGCAGGATAGAAATAAATAAAATAAAACAATTGAAATAAATATCCAAACAAAGAACAAATCAAAACCATATCTTCACAAAAGACAATTTCTTTTATCCCTTCTTGTAAATTGGGTTGGAAGGAAGCTCGAAAAACTGAATAGTGATTGTATTGTAATGCTTGCTTGCTTGCTTGTTTGTTTTTATTTATTTATGTTTATCATTATTTTTATAATGAAAATATGCAGCAAACATACCTAATATTCCATTCTCATCATATTTTCTCTTAATAAGAACCCTTTGAGGTGAGTTGGAGTGAAGGAGTTGGACTGGTCCAAAATCATCCAGCTGGCTTTCAGGCCTAAGTTAGGACTAGAATTTACAGCCTCCTGATTACCACATGCATGGGGTCTAGGTTGTGTATAAAACCACCACCACACCCCAGTCCATGGAAGACAAATTTCCTTCTGAAGCCAGTCCCTGGTGCCATAAAGCTTGGGGACTGCTGTCCCACAGAATAGGATTTGGATCTAAACTCTTGACTGGAGCTGGGGAAACCCATGGCCCATCAATCTCAGTCTCCCCACTCTTCTCTGGCCAGCGAGGATTCGGACTGGGAGGAGGACTTTCTCCCCAGACCGGGATCTGAATTCTCGGGGGATGAGGGGGCTGCTTCCGAGAAACCCGCCTTTAGGGGGTTGTTTAAGCAGGTCCATTTCAAGACTATCTTGAACAAGGCTAAGGCCTCGACCCACTTGGGTTCCACTCCACCAGCTCCTGATCCTGCAGACCTTTCCGAAGGGCTCTTCGAGGAGCCAGTGCCAGCACAGGAAATTGTACCTCTCCCCAAAGTATTCCTTAATGTGTGCAAAAACAATGGGCGCAGCTGGGTACCCTTGCCACCCCTAGTGCCAATGATAAGAAGGTAGATGCAAGTCTGGAGGACTTACTGAAATTGCCTCCAGTGGACCCACTAGTGGCATCACTCATTTCCTCTTCAGTGCTCCCACCTGATCTCAAGATAGAGGACAAGATAGCAAAGACGCCTGCCATAAGACTCAGCAGGCGGCAGCTTGGGCGATTAAAATGTCCACTTCTGCGTCCTTCCTTTCTAGAGCCTCCCTACTCTGTCTGAGACAATTACTCACCAAGATTCTGGCCGGGGATACCAAATTGAGACAAGATGTTAATAAAATCATTGCAGCGACAGAATATACTGTGGACGCCACCTGAATGCTTAACCTGTTAAGTTTGCATCCAGGTCACTGGCCTCCAATGTCACCACCCAGCGACTCTTGTGGCTAAGACACTGGAAGGTGGACATGCGGTCCAAGTNAAGTAATTGAGGCAGAGAACTGAAATTCTATTTTCTGTAGTTCCATTTCATTTATGCAATATCTGAAAAGATTCTAAGGCTGTCTCTCTTAAGCATGTTACGTAAAACAATGGGTTTACTGCAGCCTAGATTCTTCATATTCCTAATGAATTCTTATTTTGGGTCATATCTGGATATTTATTTTAAAGTATAAATCTCTTAAACCAATATCAGCAAAAGAAGAGAAAAGAATAAAGTCAAGTTCTCTTTGAGATGAGCTTGACTTCTGGTTATAAATCCAAATTGGTTACTTGATAACAAAATGGAAGTAGTTTGCAACTGATTTATTCTAGAATATTTTTCAGATTTTCCAGTCTACCTGACTATCCTATAATTTCATAATGATCTTTCATCCAAATATTAAACAAACCAACCCTACTTTGCTTTCCAAAATCAGATGAATTTAGTTTCCTGCTACTACAGGAAACCAGTCTCAAAAAGGGAAAAATGTATCAGAATTAAATAAGTAATAATAGAAATTAGTGTTAAATGATAAAATTATTATCAGTATCATTAGAAAATAAAGAGAGAGATATGTTAAATATTTTTTGTCTTTTTTATTTTAAGGTCCATATGTATCATAACGGTTCTGGAAATAACAAAGGAATGATGTGGCTTTTTCGTTAAAGTAAGTTATTCTTTCTTTCAGCAACCAATTTCATAAAAGTATGCTGTTTTAAATTCTACGGTTAAAGTAATAACACATTTAGTTTCACTAAAGGCTTTACTTTCATTAACTGTAGTCAAACAATGTATATTACCTAAATCTTTTAAAATATATTAAGACTAGTTGAGGTATATTGGAGTGAAACAGAATTTTGAATAGTTTAAATTAGAATAAATTAAGTTAAGAAAAACCCCTTATATTGGTCTATCCTGGCGTGTGACAGAATATTATATGTACCTTAGAGTAGCATGAACATACTATGCTGTAAGACAAATAGAAATTATATATGTTTCTGGCAGCTTTTAAACCAGCAACCTTCTATATAATTAGCAAAGATTATAGCCACTCTAACTCTACTCATAGCATACCAATACATAGCCACTCTAATCATAGCGTTTAATCACTTTGAAAGTGGATGGCAAATAAATCTAATAAATAAATGGATAAATAAATTTTTTTGATGATTTATCCTGTTAATTAGCTGGCTGTGTAAATTTGGAAAAGCTTCAACTATGGAATGTTCACTTGAATATGGTCATGTATTTGCATGGGAGTAATGGGAGAGCAAATGATGGAATGCAGTTGATAACATGAGCATAGAAATGCCTTGAATATTTGTGCCAAAAATCAGCATGCATGTACACGATGGCGGTATATGTGTGATAATGAATAAAAAATAATAATTTCTTATCATGATAAGAGTGTTGGCAGGGAAATCTTACTATACTTGTTATTTTGTATTAAGACAACTCCATATTGTTAGTTGAGAAGTCAAATAATTTATAATGAAGATTAGATTGTATAATGCAATGAAGAGTGTGAATCTAAAAATTCATCAGTTAAAGATACTTGAGTTTGTTATAAATGATCTGAAATACCATTTGTGATTATGGGAAGGTAGACAACAATTTGCACCAATGGAAGAGCAATCATTCTAAGACAGTGAGAAACAGGAAAACGTCT